ATTTTTCTTATTTTTTTTATTTGGGTTTTTCTTTTAGCCAGAGTCATGTCATAGTATGACCCAAATTAGTTGAAATATTTTGACTTTTTTTGACATTATACTATATAACTTTTAACTTTGTTCATAGAGCCTGTATATTACAATACCTAATATGTCAGTCTCAGTTTTGCTGGATTTTTATTCATATGTGTTTGTGTAGGCTTTGTTACTGTTTCCCAGTGCCACTTCAATAACAGCACTGTTAATTAGACCCCAAAAGTGAATAACCGGAGTGAGGAATCCTACCTAGACGTCCGAATTAAGGATTTGCAAATTGTTTGAATAATGTATGTGCTTAAAACTAATTAGGCCCTTTACCCTTCAAGTCTCTTCATGTAAAAATATTTGGTTCCTTTACTCCTTAAGCCTCTCCCTGTTAAAATATTTGATTCCTTAATATATGTGATTGGTACTTGCAACAGCTCCTGTAGTTAATGTTTATGAATACTTTTGAAACGTATTAAAAATTAGTGGATAGATCCCGAAAATTTAAAACGCCACTGAGCATATTTCATTTAACTGTTGAAGATCTGAAAGATACAATATAAAGAAAGTATCAAGACAAGTAAGAGGGCGGAAATTCTCGAAAATGGAGAATGGAGAATTCGGAAGACTAAGTGAACTGAAAAAGTGCTGGCAAATGCATTTTCGTTTTTCTAGATTGTACGTATCTCTAGACTTTTTCCTCTAATCAGCATATCTCGATTTCGTTAGATCGGTATCGGTAGCTTCTCAATTTAGTCCCGCTTTTTTTAAATATAGGGTATGGCAAAAAATAGTAATGTAAATATTGAATATTTAACAATACTCATCAGAATATTAGAAGTGTACAAAACTGTACAGTTTAAAAATTTTAAAAGAAATAGGCTGTGATTTTGTCTGCGAAATATTATTACAAAAATTTGTCTTTTATGCATAGAAGAGCAGCATATGATCTGATACTTCAGTCATTTTTATTGCATTACGCACTTTATAAAAAATCGTTCGAACACAAATAAAAAATTTATTTAATTGTACACATAACACCAGAAATAATATAACATTTAAAATTGAAAAATTGAGTTTAGCAGAATGGCCGATATGGCCTTACAAAATAAAACTTCGTCAGTATTTCGAAAATATCGAAGGAGGAAATTTCATAGGTGCAGTGTAGCGAGTAAAAAATTGTCAAGAAATATGGCTACTCTTTTAGTTTTAAGTAAGCATCACGAAGAAGAATCCAAAATAATTAAAAGAAACTATTCGAATCATTTACGTAAAGAAATAAATGAACGTCATCCAAGAATTATTTCACACTGGATGAAAGAATATTTAATATGAAGAGAGAGAGTATAGAATATCAGTTAATATCCTAAAACTAAAGGATGCATTTAGAAATGTGGAAATAAAATTAAGGAATCCATCCCCCCAACATCAAAATAAAAGCAAATCAAAGAAAAATTGATAAGTCTAAAAAGATAAAAATGTGCCCAAGCCTGGGATCGAACCTGGGTCTCTTAATTTACTTTTCGACACGTTTTACCAATTATACTACGCCGAGCACTTACCTAGGACTAGTAATGAGCGATATTTCACGAACTGTGATTTAATCACTGATACCAACAAATATCAAGTCGTTCCCGTTACCAACTTGTGAAAAAAGTCGTGAAGTGATCACGCTCACACACAGTATTGGTTTCTTATTTCGTACTCAAACCTTTTAGGCGTTTGCAATACCGGTATTACCTTCAGTCACGTCATTAAGTCGATTTTCGCTTCAAATAATTTAAAATATGATAGGTAGCAGACGACTCCGTGACTTATTGACAATCGTATGCTTATATGGTCGATTTTCGCAAATCTCAATTGTAATAACAAGCGTGGCATACGACATCGTGCCTTATTGTCCTTCGTTTGGCTATACTAAATCACGGAAGGATATCATTATGGTTCTTTTTCTTTCATATATTTTTCATTATTTGGTATCTATCTTGACAACGCGACTTGTTATCGAACGCGCGAAATTTAGAGGTCGTGATCACGTCACGCTTTTCAATCACTGATATCAAAAAGTAACAGTAACGATTTACAACGTGATTGAAAAATCACGATATCGTCCGTCACTACCTAGGACGGTTGAATTAACCACACCGATGCTGTATTAGCATCTTAAGGGAAGATTAAGAGAGCTGAGGGAGTGGAGAATGTGTGTACCGATTAAACTTGTAGACTGATGTCTTTAAATTTGTCAATTTGACCGTCGGTGGCTTAATTAGTAAAGGTATCGATGTGTAAACTCAGAGGTCCAGATTAGGTCCCCAGCTTTAACACATTTATTTTCTCTTCGTTTTTTAAACCCTTGAGGATGTGGGGATGGATTCCCTTAATTCCATAGGAAGCAACAGGGTTTTAATTTACATTACATTTCCAAATGTATTCCTTCCAAAGTTAGATTAACTGCCATTTTAAGATATTTGGCAACTAGATGACTATGAAGACTAGAGATAAGGAGACGAATCGGCATACTCAAAATACGGTCCCAGAAAACGCATGCTAATTGAGCTTCTATAATTAACCGCATGGGTGCTGGTACTGTATACGCTGTTCAAAATGCATGGCTCCTTATGGGAATTATACATAATTTTGTCAAAATAATAAAAATAAACTTGTTTATAGCTGAAAAAAGCACAGAACATGCTGTTGTATTTATTTCTAAATAAGTCTTGCATGTTTTAATTGATGAATTACTTAATTTTATCTATATAAAATACAAATTAACTACGTATGACCAAGTTCGAAAAGGTTTCTTAAATGCTGAAATTTGATAAGTACAATTTTGTGGCAAAAATGTTTTTGAATTGAACTAATATATAGTTTTAAGAGTAAAATAAAACACAGTTGTAATACAAGTATAAAGGGAGATTTGCGAATGTACATGGTATTACCTCATTCTTTAATTTCCCCTTTTTATTTTGCTAACAGTTCCATCAGTAAAAATAGTCTCACAATATTTGATAATATCTTCTAAAAAGTATAGAACAGCATCATCTCTAGAAAGTGTTTTATCGGCACTAGGAACGATATATGCTGCCACTGTTCTAAACATTTAGTATCCTATAAAAAAACATTTACAATGACACAATTGGGGTCCAAAAAAAAATAACAGTAGCAACTCTTTATCTAACATTAAAACTCTATAAAAAATAAACTTTCTTTTCTAGTAAGTTAAATTTCATGCATAATTATTGTCGTTTGTAAGTAAGCATCTATAACTAAAATTTTATATCATAGGAACTTGTAATAAAATAAACTACACTTCGTAAGATACATATTGTGACTAGTTTACAATAAATATTATATTTAGACAAAAGCTTTAAAAAGACATTGAATTGATTACTTATTTTGTTTTCTTTAGTTTTACGTTTGATTTTTATCCTGTTTTACAATCTGGAACGACGTAAATTTTGCTTTGATATTTTTTGTCACTCATGTTACTTGTACTCAGGTACTTTTTTCGCATTATTTTCATTCTTTTCACCAATTTTTTAAAAAATCACATCATTTCACATTGACTTACATAGAAAATTGACACCGCTGTCATGAGACATGCCAACTACAGTCAATTTCGCGAACTTTATAAAAAGAAAGACGAAAATTTGAAATTTGACCATTGCTGAATCGCCTTCTTCTCTCTAGTCTTCATAATTTATATATAGTTCGGCACATAAGGATGTCTCCCATGCCCGGCCAGCCAAATATTCATCGCGTTAGGCTCGTAATTAAGGATGTCTCCTATGTCTGTAAAGCCAAATATAGACCACATGCGGTTTCTACTTCTAAATTACATCAATTGGTACAGTCCTCCCGGTTATTAAAAAAAATTAAATAAATGCATTTTATTTTAAGCTTGAAATTAATGCAAAAATATAATGAACTGAATGAATGAATATATGAGTTTTATGAATTTATGATTCTTTTATGATTTGAAACTACGTCAAAATAAACCGGGCTCCTTAAAATCGCTAGGAGCTAGCGGCCATATTGAATTTAGTACCACTCCAATTTGATAAATAGCAGCACATCGCCTCAGAATTTTACTATTAGGCATTCCAAACTGAATGGCTACCAGTGGATTTTGACAGGTTATGATATGGCAAAATTATGGCAACCCTGTAGGCCTGGTGATTTGTCAAGGTCAATAAAATAGATAGTTACATAGATTGATCATCCTTATTTTTCAAAATAAACATAAGCTTATGCCTTAAAGTAAAAATGTAAGCAATTATTTTTTTTTTAATATCCAAAGGCTGAAAATTGGTTTTAAAACACATGTTTGCTAAACCGATTCAAATTAATAAATATTTGCCAGACAATATGGCCGCTCGCAAACGACCAGCTTTGAGCAATCTATATAACTATATATGTATCATTGACACTGTTAGTGACAACATGACAACAGGTTTGCCATATCTAAACTGTCAGTCCCCACTGGTAGCCATTTGGACAGGTCGTTGGAATGCCTAATTATGTGTCACCACATCTATTCACATTCCCCTAATCTATGTTAAGGCCTATTCGTGTTGCTCCGCTGTTCATGTGTATTAATTTGGTTTTCCTTAATATTTTTAAATAAGTTTGAGCAAACCTAACGTCTCCAAAATATTTTTGTTATAATTGGTGATTAAATAAAATTAAAAAGGGAAGTATCTATATTAAAAATTTGCATGATCTTCATTTTCCATACATGTCAAGGAACCTTAATAAAAATGATATGCCTATCTATTTAGTAGTGGGCCTTAAAATGTCCTAAAATTTCAAAACGGATAGGCTGCTGCCATCTACAGCTGAATTGCTCAACATATATCGCATAAAAGTAGTTTTCTTTAACAGAGTTTTAGGAATATATCTTCTATTTCTTTCTTTTTCAAGTGAGAAAATCTTCTATTTCTATCTATCAAAAAAACGTAACCACAAAATGAACACTTTTACACGTGAATTTGGGTCTGTTTCTGTCAAATGTCACCAGTCATCCTTCAATAAATTTATTTGTTCCATTGATTTTTTGTCCACACACCGACACGGCATCTTTTTAAGTAGTATTTCACCGGTTATTTAAAACAGATAAAGTAAGTTATATATATTATTTATTACTGCCCTTACTTTTATCGATATAATATTTAGCCGATGAGCTATTCTAACACCGTTTTTTTGCAGCATCAAGATGGCTAGAGGTGGAATGAGAGGTCGAGGCGGCATGAATCGTAGCGTCGGTGGACGTCCTCCATTTAAAGTAAAAATGTTTTTACCTAGACATCCCTTCGATTTGGCCCTGTGCGAAACTTCTTTTCCGAGGACGAAGGCTGCTCCTGATGACACCGCTTTTACACAGGCGTTATTAAAAAGAAATTCAGATTTGTCACCTACACCTGCAGAACAAACCGCTATTTTAAATTTGGTTACCAAAATTCAGACAGTATTGGATAATTTGGTTGTTGCTCCAGGAAATTTCGATGCATGTGTAAGTACATTATATTTTATTTTCAAGTCAAGATTAAGTGCCTTTTGTCAGCCTGATTAGTTTTAAGTATTCAGTAACAAGAGATAAGGTGAATGTTAAATTCAGTACAGTTCAATACACCTGTACCCTAAACAGAATAACAAGCATAGACATAAACATGGGGAAATTAAATAAACGTGTAGATATACCAAAAATAAAATTACTGATTTCCGATCATATATTTAAAAATCTAATTGCCAGCCAAATTAAAGATAAAGGTTTAACTTAGGCATTACCATTGATTTGGTACTTTCAATAAAAACCAATTATTTAACATAATCCCATTTTATTTTCATCTCAAGGGTGTCATTTTACAGTAATTTTTCCTCGATTTCAAACAAATAAAAATAAATAGTAATATGACCTAAGTTCAATCTTTACCTATGATCTTTGATGTGGTTCACTCACAATATAATAAATATTTCACAAAAAATGACTGATAAATTGGGTAATTTTTCATTAAATAGTTCTCTCAAAATGTATTGCTGAAAGGTAAAGTCTCATCTAGTCTTAATATTTCTTATGGTGTACCACAGGGTTCTGTCCTTGGTACAGTGTGGTTTTTAATATATGTCAATGATTTGGCTAGCGTTGGAAATAATGGACATTTTAAAATCTTTGGAAATGACATGTACATATTATATAGTAAATCCATTGATGCATTATCTAGTAGTATTTCCAGAGATATTTCTAATAAAAGAGTGATGTTACTCAAATTCATTATCACTAAACGTTTCAAAAACAAACTTAATCACTTTTAAATGTGATATATTATCAGACATTTTCCTTGGAGAGCAAAACATTCAGGCTGTAAATAATAATAATAATAAATTCCTATGCATACATATTGATCAGGCCTTCAAATTCTAAAATCATATTATTAATTTAGTTTAAAAAATGGCTTCTGCAGTAAGAACAATAGCACACAATCTTAATTTTCAAACTACCAGAGATATTTATTTTGCCATGATTGGATCCCATCCAAATATGGAATATGTTTCAATCTCTTATGAACTGTTTCATAAAATCTTTGTGCTACAAAAGATTTATGTGTAAAATTAGTGTGAAAAACTTTTGTAACTCTTTGTTTCTTCAACACAATATACCTATTAACTTTGGTTTGTATTTATATTTTAGAAACATTATGTTTAATGCTTAAGAAATATTCGAGTGATATTTGTGCCATGTCTATATACAATACCCATCGAATGTATTGTATCCCACTCCCCATCCCCAATTCTACCTTGATAAAAAAATTCCTTATTTTACAATTGGGATCTAAAATTAAGTTTGCAGCCCTGTCTGTACTTAACATTTAAACTAAATGTTGTGGCTTGTTATTGTTTACATTTTTGAGTTTGTAAACAAACAGCTCATAAAAAGTATTTAGTTTATATTGTGCTATTTTAAGGAAAACATATTGTTGTTAATTTTTAGTGATTAGACACTTTTATTTCAATAGTTTTTAGGTTAAAGTAGAATATATATTTTTATTTGGTAAGTAACCCCCTCTTATTTTTGTTTTTGAATTACTTTCATTCATTCATGTTAAGATATTTGTGTTATCTTTTAATAAAATATTAATATATTTATTCTATTTTTAGAGAGGTCTGAAATAAGGCTAAGTTTAATAGAACTTATGAAGTATATTGATGCAGGTGAATATTCCAGGACTGTTAAAGAGGCTTAAATGCAGGCCACATAGTTTTTATGTGTAAAGAATGAATTTAGTGATAAACACATTATCTGTTTATGCAGTTGTTCTCCAAACTAGTGCATTGAATTCAGATCCCCATATTGTTGTAGGCCAGTTCTCATTCACAAGATGTTCGAAATTGGTGAATGACAGTGTTTGTTTAAGGTTGTGGACAGTGTAAACATATTTCAGGAGTCTTAATAAGGTGTTCTAGGTGTATACTGTTTTAAATAATAAAAGAACTATCAAGCTAATTCGATTGAATACCTTATGATTTTGTTCTACACCCACTTGTATATTATTTATTCTATGCACTGATTAAAGAATGAAAAAGTAGGCCATTGAACGAATATATTTATCCATTCTATGAAGAACACTGTACAGATATGAAATCCACCAATCACAGTTCATATTTGGTATGAGTAACAATCCTGTTTAACTGATTTTCAGTATATTTTTTAATTATTAAGATTAAATATAAATAACAAATGGTTATTGTGAAGAATCGATAAATAATGGCACTACACAAGATATTCTTTTATATTTTTAAATAAATCTAAAATCAGTTTAATAATAATAATAATAATAATAGTTTATTTGTCCTTTAGGATCGTGTTACATGATATAGGATAAGTCATAATATATATGAATAAAAAATATTAAAATACAAATAAATATAGGTACAGTATACAAAAAAAAAATATATGTCTAAGACATGCACATTAAAAATATACAATTAGAAAAACATTTACCTTAAAATATGGTGGTATTCAGATAAATTATAAAAACATGAATCTACTAAATAGTTTTTAAGTTTTCTTTTAAAAGGTTCATATTTCTTTTCAGATTTAATGAAATCAGGGAGTTGATTAAAAAATTTAATTCCAACAAATTCAGGCGATTTCTCAAATAATGCTGTTGAATGTCTTGGTGTTCTGAATAAATTTGCATTCCTAGTTGAGTATTCATGATAATTTGAATTTTGTAAAAATTGGTGTATGTTGCGTTTAGCATATAGCAATGTTTTATAAATGTAAATACAGGGAAATGTTAATATTTTAAATTTTTTGAAGATAATTCTAGATTAAAAATAAGCAGGATTATTCTTTTCTGTAAGATAAATACTTTAGATGCATTGACTGCATCTCCCCAAAGAATAATGTTGTATGATATATGAGAATATGCTAAAGCATAGTAGACATTAAGCAGTTGCTCTTGGGTAAATATTGATTTTAATTTTAGTATTGCATAGTATGCGCTGTTTAATTTTTTACAAACATTAGATATTTGGCTATCCCAACCCATATTGCTGTCAATATGTATGCCCAAAAATTTTGTAACATCTGAGAGCATAATTTCTGCATTATTAACATTTACAATTCTGGGTAATTTGATTTCTGGAGTAGAACTGAAGGCAAACGGTTTTGTTTGAATATATAAAGGACTTTTTCTCCCCCTTCACCTTAAAATTACCTCAACTCACACATGGCTACCCCCCTTGTCAACAATTAAAGAATTTCTATAACACCATGATGTAAACTCATTAGATAAAATATTTAATTTACTAATTAATTCATCTACTGATTGTGTGTCATCTGCATATAAAATTATGTTTTCTGAGTTAATATGATTAGGCATATCATTTATGTAGCATAGAAAAATTAGAGGTCCTAAAATTGATCCCTGAGGCACACCCATATCAACACTTTCTAGTTCAGATTTACAATTTCCGACTTCGACATGTTATTTATATAAGATGACAACCAAGACAAAAAGTTACCTCTAAAACCAAGCCCTTCCAATTTTTGAATAGCGGCATCTAAGTTGATTGAATCAAACGCCTTTGACAAATCAAAGTAAAGCGCACCCACAAACAACTTTTAATCGATAGAAGTATGTATGAAATTAAAAAGATCTATTGCTGCACTTTCAGTAGATTTTTCTGGAAGGAATCCATTTTGATTTTTGCATATTATTTCATATTTTTTAAGAAATATTAGCATATTTTTGTGGACACACTTTTCAAAGATTTTGCTTAAGATTGTAGGCACTGTAATAGGTCTATAATTAACAATTAAATTATTATCACCTTTTTTTAAAGATAGGAGTTACATATCCTACTTTCAGATAATCTGGGAAAATACCTAGCTGAATAGACTGATTGATTAAGTCTGCTAAAATTTGAGAGATGTGATGACTAATACGTTTTATTGTCTTTGTGGAAATGCAGTCAATGTCCATAGAGTTAACATTTTTTAATGAGTGAATAACTTCAATTACATCACGATGATCAACAGGTGAGAAGTAAAAGGTCTGAGAGACACATGACGCAGTAAAATTCTTAAAATTCAAATCATTGAGATGAGAGGTGGCAAAATGCTCTGCAAAAACTTTAGCTATTTGTTTTGGTTCAATAATTGACAGTCCTCCTACTTCAATTTGTTTAATTTGAGAACCTTTTGATGTTTTACCATCTTGGTGATTTACCTGTTTCCATATATATTTTTGTTTTTGCTGAAAAGTTGTGCAATCCCTTTTGAAAATGAGATCTTTTTGCTCCATTTATATTATTGACATATTGTCTCTTTGCTTTATGATTACTAAAAAAAAACATGTGTCCTTGGTACAGAAGCAGAATATTTATGGCTCCACTTTTATGTTTGCATAAACTATTTAATAATCTTATTATTTCAATGTTCCATAATTTTATTGAACAAGATGTTTTAAAAAACAGATACAGAATAATTGTCCTTTTAAAATCATCTATTAACACAAGTAGGTACTATTTTTTTTTTTTTTTTGTTAGTTTTGATATAAAATTTACTTAAGTCCTAATTTTAATTTGTAGTTATTAGTCTTAATACTTTTATACTATATTATTTAATTTATGTTACTTATTATCTTACAAACAATTGTTGTATGACACTTCGCAAGTATTCTTATTCTCACCTTTTTAACGCACTGATGTTTGTAATGTTTGGATTTTGCGTGAATAAATTTATTATTATTATTATTATGTTAATAACATAAGTAATTCATGTGATCTTTTCTTTAATACAAGAAATTAAAATGTACAATTTGAAATTTATTATTGATTTTGTACTTGAGAGAATGCTCTTTTTAATAAAAAAATTTATTATTCTTAAGTTTACTATTGTACAGTTACATTTTGTAATGAGTGATTGTACATTGATAATGTATTTTTGTTATTTTTTACATTATTCTGTAGTGGAATAGTTCGACACATGCAAGACTATAGTAGCTC